CTACAAACCTCAGGCTATCCTGGGCTATGGAGTGAGATCAGAGTCGGCCTAGGCAACTGAATGAGGCTACAGCCCAGAGTAATAAATGCATGTTATGGCTGGGACATAGCCCTAATCGGTAAAGTACTTGTGCAGCATGCACTAAGTCCCCCAGGCTTGGTCCCCAGAAATATATAAAATGGATGTAGTGGCATATGCCTGTAATCCCAGAGCGAGGAAGTACAGCAGGAGGACCAGGAGTTCAAAGCTACATTGAGTTTGACATGAGCCTGAGATATGTAAGTCACCCACTGAACAAACAAGCAAATGAATAAATAAAGCCTGAGGATCAGTTTAGCAGGAGACCATCTACCTAATGTATGCGTGAGGCCCTAAATTCAATCTTTCATACTAGAAAAGAGGATAGATAGCTCTCTGAGCAAAAGGTGACCATCTTTCTCATCTTACGTATTTTTCAGCATCAGCACCAATATGTCCATCACACCCTTCCTTGTCTCACAGTCCCACAGATCAGTGAAGTGGGTATCGAGTGAGGCTTACATCAAACCTCCTAGATCAAACTCTGACTTGGCCCATTTTTTGCTATCTGACCTGGCCAAATGATTTCAACTCTCTGGTCTCCCATTTCTTTATCTATAAAATGGGAATAAAACCAGCCATGGGAAATGATCCAGACAATTCATATAAAACTCAGTGTAGTGCCACAGAGAGAACAGGTGTTGGGCAAGTGGGCTGCTATCACCTCCCTGCCCTGGTCTGTGTTCCTGGTGTCAATTTGGTTCTGCCTGGCAAAGTGTCCAACTGCCCAAGCTTTCGGTCTGCCTGATGAGCCAGGTCTAATGGTCTCCAGCTGCTGTGATGGCTAGCAGTCAGGGTTGCTTCTCGGGGGACAAGGGAAACTGACCTAACAACAGAGACACCAACCGGGAACAATCCAGTAAGCATCAGGAAAAGATACAGCAGGCATGGTGCAGCAGGGCAATACATGCAGTTTGGGGGAACAATATGCTCTTGCCCTCCTAAATCCCTCAAGCAACTTTTAGCGGAAAGCTTTGCTCGTGGTTTAGATGTGAAATGCTCCCCACAGGGTTGTGTGCTTGGGTGTTTGGACCTCAGCTGGTGGATCCATTGTGAGAGGTGGGGCCTAGCTGGAGGAAGCCAGCCCTTGAGGAGTGAGCCTAGACCCCACTTCTCTGTGTTTGCGCTGTGTTTGCTGTCTCGCTGAGATATGAAAGATGGAGAATCCTAGCAGCATGCTCCCCTACCATGGAGCCAGCCGTGCCAACACATCTTCTCCAGTGCAGTGGACTGTATTCCCTCAAACCATGCACCAAGAGAAACCCTCCTTTCAAGTCACTCCTGTCAGCTATGCTGTCATAGCCCCAGCAAAGGTTGCTGATACAAATTTCAACCTCTTTATCAGCCAGAAGTTTAACAGGAACCCAGAGGGAAGGCAGGGCAGCAATGGATTTCCCTGTGGCCATAGTTTTCTTTCTACATTACCTCATTTTGTCCAAGGCACAGGCATTGGCTAAAGGAGAATGAAAAGACAACGAAGGGTCCCAGTCTTGAGAAAACAAAATCCAGATACAGGGATAAACAATGGAAAAGGTGTGATCTCCCAGAAATGACTCGTTTGGAACCTTTACGGAGCATCTTATAAATGGGTGGTTTATATGCAGTCATAGAATTTTCTAGAATATATCTGCCAGGCTTTGTTAGGATGGAGTTCTACTCTATCCTTGCAATGTCCCCAATCCTAAGGACATGTTAACTTTCTTTGTTTTCACAGTCTTGCTTTAATCCACATCCTTCCTCTCCTCTGGGGACTTATGTGTCAATTGTAATACATAACTGTCACACCCTCACCTGGTTAGGTTTGGTCTTTGTAAAGGTCACTGGAAGCAATCATTAAATCCACTGGAAACCCCCAGACTTTGAGGTAGCAAAACTGAAGTAATATCTCTATTTGAAAACAAAAAACAGAAGACGTTAGCTTTTTCTATGGAAAGAAGTTCCCCTCTGCTTGTCTGAATAGATCCTGCCTCAAATGGCCTCTTTAAAAATCTGTGAGTCTCCACAAGAAAAAAACAATAGTCAACTTTGCAAAGGAGAAGGTGAAAAGGGAAGAATTCATATTTACATTTTAAGAAAAATTGGGATGGTGATTTGAGTCTTCATGTTCCTTTTGATCCTATTATATGTTTAATGGCCAAGACATCCAGGAAAGAACTTGAGTGCAACACAGCAGTTTTAACATTCAAGGGAGCAGATGAAGTGGCCACAATTCTTGTGACTGAATGAGAAATTACCCAGCTCAGCCCTGCCCAGGGCAACAGGACTGGATTTGGGTCAAAGAACTAAATTTCAGATCAGAAAAGAGAAGTAGCATTTTTTGGGGCTAGCAAGTAGATAATGATGACAATAATAATTCTGTCTGATGAAAGATTCGTTCCTTAGCCCTCACTGCATTCACTGAAAAGACAGTCAGTCAGAGGGTGAATGTCTGGGCTCAGCAAAGTTGGGCCGCATTCCCAGACCCTCTGAGCTTTCCAATGGGAACTGATAAAAATCAATTAAGAAAGGATGCTGTTCTTTGCTACTGGACCTCTTCTGTGTCTAGGTGTTTATACAACTGATGGATGGCCCAGCCTGGTTGGGAAGTTCATGGAATGCTTCCTTGAAGAATTTCCTGTGCTCTGGCTCCTCTCAAAATGCTTGCATTGAAAATCAGAGAGGGAAAAATATAAGTGAGTCTGTAGGACAGAGCTGAAGATATCTAAGCAGGGAGCAGGGCTTAAGATATGCTGAAAAGTGGAGCTCACTGGCAGTTTTCCTACTCAATACCATCTCCATGACCATGCACATGCCTTTTGTATCTGGGCATGAAAACACATCAGAACCAGAAACCAATATGTCTATATGATTGTATCTTGAGAACCAAAGGAGGCTGGAGTTCATGTCAGCATTCAGAGACATGATAGAGATAACCACTTGACAGAGAGACCAGGCAAGCATCATCAATAACTTACTACAGGCAGCTCTCTTGCCAACTCAGCCTCAAGAGTTCCCTCTCACAGAAGCAAAACACAAAGACCTATAAACTGTGCATCTTTAAGGAGAATCCAGGAGCAGTTTGGGAAGAACATGCTGCCCATTTGGTGGCTGGTACAGATCTCAAGATTTGAGATTGATTTTTAAATTTGGAGCCATGTAGTGATGGTGACTGTAGGTAAGTTCCTCCAGCAGTGACTGGCTGTTTCACAGTGATAACCCCTCTTTGCTACAGCTTTCCAGCAACATGTCAATCAAGGAGCAATATCCTCAGGGGTGAAAGCCAGACCACTTGCTTGCCAAGGGTCATGTGTTGCAGAGCTGAGAGGAATGAAATAGGCCAGTAAGAATAACTTCAATAGGTGAAAATCTACAAATAGTTCAGAGGCACAGAGTGCCAGGCAATACACACCACCTTGAGGACCTGTGACCACATCTCTCAAAGGACTTCCAAGACTTCTCAGAACTTGGATGGTAACCACCACCTCCATTCACTCATTCTGATTCTCTGGAATTGAATTCAGGCTTTGAACCAGAGAAGGAATTTGAACACACCACTGACATCTGATACCACTTATAAAATATACTTAGATGACCGTGTGCCAATTGCCCCCAAGGTCACTCTGAGGTTCTCTTAATAAACTAGGGGGGGTCAGGAGCACGCACCACCTCTTCATCTCCAAAGTTAGCCAAGGGTTTTGATTTAATCTATTTGAGACCAGAAAGAATTGGCCTGGAATCTGGGGCTCTATAAGTAGGAACATACTCTCCCCAAGTTGCAGCCCTGGGGAACATTGGAAAGGGCTTTTTTGTGGGGTGAGGGCAATCTGGTTCTGTGAAATGCAATGTGCCCCCTGCAGGCTAAGGCTGGGTATAAGGGCTAGGGCAGAGTTGTCTTTGCTGAGCATCTGACTGTCTGTGTTTGGAGCTTGGAATGCTCTTTGAGAAACGTCCCAAGTCAGCCAGGATCTTGGCCTCTCCAACCTAAGTCTGCCAGCAGTACTCAGCCCCCAACCTTGCTGTGCTTGTACCACTTAAACACATCTTCAAAGTTTACTACTCAACAGTCTGACCCTGAGTCTGCCAAAAGTCTAGTTGCAGGATTTAGAGACTGGCTGCTGCTGTTCTCTGCAGAGTATCTGTGAGCAAATGGCAGTCATCAAACCTTCCAGCCAGGGCCATCCCAAGGACCAAAGTGTCAGTGGATAAGTCTGATCTGGGAAAACTCCCTTCTTCCCCGTGTTACCTCCCTCTCCCAGCTCCCTAGCTTCAGAACCTAAATCAAAGGCACTGTGGCATTTCAGAGGACAGCACTGAAAAACTTTCAGCGGGATGACCTGGGATATCATCATTCCTGGCTGAAATTAACTTTTGCCTTTCAGATTTCTGCAGGAGCTTGGATTCAGGGAACATGAAGGGTGGAGGTACCAAAGAAAATACATAGCATACCACAACCAAGCCAAACCAAGCTTGACATTTCCAAATTATATTGGCAAATGCATGCTTTCACAAATCATTTGTTCTGTCCTAGAGATGAGAAAGAGAGAGAGAGAGAGAGAGAGAGAGAGAGAGAGAGAGAGAGAGAGAGGATCAGGATTCAAATATCCTAACCCCCGACTAATAAATTGTGTCATTGGGATGCAATCTTAAATCCTCTTCAAAAAGTCTAACGTTATTTATGTTAACACGCGCACCAACACCTCCAAGCCAAAAGTTGTAAGGTTGGTAGTCCCTTAATCAGTTCCACCATTCCCTGACCCTGGGTGGTTGCAGAACTCAGGGTTGAGCTCACAGCATCCAGTTCCTATAGATGCATCTTACAGGTTTGGGGGGTCGGGGTAGGTAGGGGTGCACATCTCTGAATATGGGCCAAAGCATCACCTTGGCTACTTGAGCCCAACACCTCCTCCTCCAGGTTGGCCCCAAGCCTCTCCGATGCCGCTTACCTGCAGGCGCTCAGTAGCCGGCTGCCACATCTTCCAGCCTTGGGGTTTTGGCAGCAGAGACGCAGGAGAGACTCTAGATTGTGCTGGGAAGAAGGGGCCACTGTCCCGCTGTCACATCTGGGGTCAACGTCTGCGGGCTGAGCGTCCTGGCTCTGGCTACAGCCGGTGGGCACAGGGGCTGTGAAACAGGACGAGGTGGCGCTCAGCTGCCGGCAACTTGTGGGCTCCGCTCCGGCCGCCAGTCGGTGCGCAGCTCAGACGATTGCGCAGCTCCGCCCGGGCCCCAGCTCCGCGGCCGCTCCCTCCTCCCCCCGCCACCACCCGGACCTGCGCGCTCTGAGCATGCCCGGGCGGGCGTCTGCAGGGGGGAACCAGCGCCCTGGGCTGTGGGGTCTGCACCCAGCAGACCCCCAGCAGCCAGCAAACCCTGGAGAGGGACCAACACAGAGTCAAGAAGCTGGTGAAGCCCCTACGTTGGAAGGCAGCACAAAGTGGCTGGGAAGAGAGTGATGCCCCACCGGGTTCCTTCCAGCAGGAATCTCTAAATCACTTGGGACATGCATGGCTTGATGCTAGGGAGACACTTCCATCCCTTAGGTTAACTGAGAGCCGGTTATACTCCACCCGCTTCTCTAAGTTCCTGAGATATGGTGGTGCTCAGCAGAGGACAAGAGCATTCCCCTCTCCTGAGCTTACATTGCATGAGGGAGGAGGAAAGATTCACTGGAAGTAAGTACGGGGAAGAAAAGCAAAAGGGAGAAAAGCAGAGGAGAGGGTCCTCAATGGGGTCTTTGGAAATGTCTGCAGGAAGACTTGAAGATAAGAGGCATTTACATAGCATGGAACTCTACTGGATAAGGGACCTGGAAGCCTGAAGAGAGAAGCCACCACATTCTATTCACCAACAACATCCATCCCCAGATCTGCCAGGTGCCATGGGGATACCATAAGGCCCTCCCAGATCCTGAGGTCCCCAGGCTAGGGCTACTCTTCACAAAGCGCCTATGCAGGTCTGCTCTCCTCATCCTCTGGGCACTTCTGCAAGATCAGTGGGACTATCCCCAGAGTGTCAGTGGGACTGAGGCATGTGGAGGTTGGGTTACCTATCCAGGTCGTAAGGCCAGAGATTGGCATGAACAATGCACTCAGATGACATGGAGGTAGGAGTTCCTGGCCAGGAATACACCTTGGGACACAAATCCATCTAAGATAGGGGCTCTGGGGGCTGGGGGGTGTAGGATGTGTAGCTGGGTCTGCAGCTGAGAAAGAATGTGGGAACAAGACATGTGCTGAGGAGCTTCTGGGACAGAAGAAATAGAGGGGGGGTGGAGAACATGGCCCCAGCTACTGCGAGGGAAGGTCCAGAGGCCAGCAGGACCAATGTGAACACACTGTGAGACCTCACACAGCCTAAATAGAGAGGGGGGGATGGAGAACATGGCCCCAGCTACTGCGATGGAAGGTCCAGAGGCCAACAGGACCGGTGTGAATACACTGTGAGACCTCACACAGCCTAAATATCCATGTGAAGCCAACATGAGCTCCTGGGCAGGGAAGAACGAGTCCTCGCCCTCGTCCTGCACGGGGGGAGTGCGTTCCACAGAACGAAGTAGTCCAGAGTCTATTCCTCAACTGGTTAGATGCCCCATTTCCCAAGGTGCACAGAGCCATGTGACAAAGGCATCTACTATTCAGACCCAAGGTTCCAGACTTTTGGATCTTGAAGTCACTATATGATATAAGTCCCAGGTAAACTCAGCACCACTTAGCCAATGACAAAGCCACAGGGTCTCCACAAGGGGGTCTTTATATCACCAGATACCACATGTTTCTGCTGCTAATTTGGACCATCTCAGCCCTTCTTGAGCCTCAGATCTTTGCTCTGGATCAGACTTAAAAAAAAAACTGCTCACCCCACATAGGTAGGTGCCTCAGCAGGTGTGGAAATGTACCTTTTGGCTTTGCTGATGACTCTTGTCCCTGTCATTTTCAGATGAGAAGTTTTTTCCTTTTTCTAATAACTAGTTCCCCTACATACTCTTAACACCTAATAAAATAAAACCCTTCTAATCTCCTACTTCTCCTTAGTCACATCCCCAAACTGAAAGAGATGTCCTTCATTTAATAAAACTTAGCAACTCCTAATGTACACATGAAGCCCCTCCAGCAACTAAAATAGGAATCTTCAGTTGCCCAGGATGTCTTCAGACAAGCTTTGAAACAACCCTTAGTTGCAGATACTTTCATAGGACGGGGGGGCGGGGGGGCGGGGGGGGATGATTTTGTTTTAAATAGCAGTGGGATGAGATAACAGCCTAAATTCAAATCGCATTAGAGCATTAAATCCTGTCTTCTCACCTCCGAATGTAATTAATTGTTATGACTCAGTAATGCCGCCTCTAGTTGTGAGCATGGTGCTATTTAAAGAGAGACTTCAGCTTTCAGCTCAGGGAAGAATGCTCTCAGTCACCACCAGGCCTTACTTAGTGAAGCTGAGGATGTATTTATACCCAAATCACATGTTCCAACTTCTCCTAGGAGGTGAATCAGGAAACTGGGTAACTGGAGAGAAGAGGGGCCAGATATGAGATGGTGGAGCCGGACAAAAGGGATGACTCCCACTCTTAGGTTTTCCAAGTGTTCCCATTCAGGAAGAACCTGCAGAGGAGGGTGAATGAAACAGAGCCATCTACTGGCCAGAGTTGGGATGTGCATATAGGTCCCTCCCAGCAAGGCCCTGGTACTTGAAGCTAGTCCATTAGGATCATTCAGAAAATGCTCTTTAAAGGGGCAAACAGGTTTGTTCTTGGCAAGGGATCATTCCCTGAAGTATGCAAAAGGTGCTTGGATTCTGTGAGGGAAAACATAAAATACATAAGTGTGTGCCTAATCTCCTGTATTTAATCGCTGCCAATTATCTAAGCAGGTCTAATCATGTAGTTGAAAACAAGTTCAAGGAAAATGACGAAGGGGAGAAAAAAAGACATGTGACACACAAAATCATTACAAACACCTTAGCATTTTTACTAAACCAAATTCTATCTAATTCAGAGTTCTAAGCCCTAATCTAAGCAACCTAGATGGTCACATCAGGATAATGATGAAACAACATACCAAATATGTCTAGCATACCAAAAATGTGTTAAAATACCATGCAGTCACTAAGACCATGGCTGTGAAGTGTGGGAGCAAAGAAGTATTTAGAATTTATGTTTTTAAAGTAGGCTAAATAAAATGCATAATTTTAATACATATATAAAATATATGTGAATTAGAACAAACCTTGGAAATAAGCTAGGACAAGAGGAAGACTCAAATTGAATCCTGGCCTTTGAATCCCTTTCATCTCTAGCAAGTCTTTCAGAAATCTGTAAAGAGTAATAATATGGTCCAATACTTAGTATTATAATATATAACCTGCCCTGCCATGGTAGGTATACAGAAAACATCAGTTTGTGTCCCTTTTATAGTTCTTTCCCTTTTTGTTACCGGGGAAATAAGATCCTCATGAAGTAGCCCATGCTTCCCTGGGTTAAGTCATTCCCACTTGGAATGTTTGTAGATTTCATTATTCCATTTATTTCTCAAGTAAAAATGACAGGCCCCATGAAGGCAAACTTACGGTTCTAATTTAAGCCGATGCCCAGGGAGGATGGTTGTATATTTAGCAGGAGTGAGTATAAAGAAAGCCCTTCTTGGGGCTTCATTGACCTTATTTCCAAGTTCCTAAGACCATGGTAGTTATTAATTTTTTTTAAAAATCAGAAAATTCAGGAGCTAGAGAGATGTTTCAGCAGTTAGGAGAATTTGCTGCTCTCCCTGAGGGTGTGTCCAGCTCGCAGCATCTGTATCTGATAGCTTGCAACTGCCTGTAACTTCCACTCTAGGGAACCTGAGGTCTTCTTCCAGCCTCCTTAGGTATACTCACACAGATGCCCACATACACACATACATAGAAACTAATCTTTAAAAAATAAGATAGATGTATTAAACCATTAACACTTCCCTGTAGTGACAGAGCCACTGGCTTTTGTACCCACATTAGTGGAGGGTGTTTATTGGAATATTAACATGGTCCTTTCTTCCTTTAAAAGGAGACATTCCTTGTTCATCCTTTCAAACTTGGTTAAAAACTAAGGACTAATTAGTGTGCATGCTGAAACACAACTACTTGTGATTCCCTTGTTCTCGAATCAGTTTTAATTATTTGACAGGTAATCTCCAAAGGCGGCCACAGGTCTCTCTCAACCCAGAGAGCCACTTGCCTATTTCTCCCATCAAGAGGTAGAGCCGTGTGTGTGTGTGTGTGTGTGTGTGTGTGTGTGTGTGTGTGTGTGTGTGTGTGATGTGATATGTGCCTATGTGAGTGGAGGCATGTATGAAAGAGTCAGAGGGAAGCCTTACATTTTGGTGTTCCTCTTTAACTATTTTTAAGATAGGTTCTATCTTGCTTGCTGCTGTGGAAACGCTCTAGGTGCCTCTCCCCTTCCCCATGTTCTGAGGATTTTTCTGTCTCTACCTGCCCCCTTCATCCCCTTGTAGGTGTAGACTGGGATTACAGACTCATGAGCTACTGTGTCCAACTTTTCATGAGTTCGGAAGCATACTCAGATTGTCATGCTTGCTCTCTCTCTCTGAGGTGGAATCTACCCAGCCTCCTTCATTCTGCCATGCACATGTGATTTAGTTGGCTAGCTTAAATACTATATGCATGAAACATCCAAACGTAGGGCCCCAAAGACCTGGCAGCTTGGCTCTCACCTCTTTGGAATCTGCAAGTAGATTGTAAGGAAGCCAAGCAAGCCTTTTAATGATGAGAACCACAGAGGGAGGCCAAGACAAAAGGGAGCACTCCTCGCCAAACACATGTATAAATTCAACTTAGAATACACAGCTCCAGCTACTAGGAGACAACAGCCATAAGAGTGACCCTCAGGCATGACAGCATAAGAACTGCTCAGCTGAGACCATCCCAAGTTATGACATAGAATCATGAGCACAAAACTCAGGGAGGTTTGTCAGGTGGTGAAAGACACTCCTGGGGAAAGCATCACCAAAAGACTTTCCCATTAATCCTCACAGCCGTCTCAGCATTCCCAAGCAACCAATAGAAACAGAAAAGAATCATCAATAATTGAAGCCCACCTGAAAGACTCTTCCTTTCCTGGCTCCGTTATG